TGAGGCCCTTCCCGGTTCCCGTTTGATGCAATTTTTACACCACTGTGATCACCGTCCTTTTCTCTACAGGTTGATCAGAGCAAAACATCAAATCGCGACTCGCGCCCGAGAAGCCGCTGCACCCGAGAGCTCTACCGCTGGTAAGTCTCGGTTTTTCGTGATTTTTTGGCCAACCGAGGGCCCTAGGATTGATTTATCAGAGGAACCAATGCAAGTTTGGCCGAATTCGGCCCAAAACGGCAAAAAATGGCTAACCCAAGGTAGATCATCGCCGCGTGCGGCGGTGCCATCGCCGAAGCACAGCGGAGCCGCCGCTCCGAAATTCTGATATTGGCCAAAAAAGGGTCTGAGTCTGATTTGGGGGTTTTTTAGGACACGTACAGGTATCGGAAGTGTGTTTCAGTTTTCCAAAAAAAATTCTGGAAATTTAGGGACAGCCCGTAGGCGCAGTGAGAACCCGATTTCAGACCCCGAAACAAGTAAGGATTTCTCACCTTATTTTCTATCACGGTATTAAAGCTCAATAAATGATAAAACAATATTTTATGAATTGTGTATAATTAATTAAGGTTGCTAATGGAGTCCGAATCTGATGTATTTTTCGGTCAGTTGTTATTTGATCTATTTTACAGTTTAAAATGCAGTATGGTATCTGATATATTTATTTTATGGTTTCGTATGCATGAATCACGGTTTCGTTTATTATGGTTTGAATTATTGGGAACCCGTTGTTGTCTTGTTTGGTGTTCATTACTAGTTTACGTGTTTATGTTTGATTGAATAATTGAGACTGAGAAAAACGAAAAAATATATGTGAATTGATAAATGGATGATTTCGACAGTCTAACTAGATATCCTGGGAGATGGTTGATGGATTGGGTCCGTAGGGAACCCTACCGGGAACGTGGTCTCTCATATCGGAGGGGATATGGAGATGTTATGTGTTTTGGCGTCCATACCGAACGGGGTATGGGGGCGGCCCGTTTCACCCTCATACCAGACGGGGTATTGAGGTTTATAGTTTTTGGCGCCCATACCGGACGGTGTATGGGGACAGCCCTGGAATCAAGTTATCAATGTGAATGGTTCACGTGTAGCAGGACCCCCTATGGATCCCCATGGATACCAATAGGCTGATAAAAGAGGAAAATCTATTGTTTGATGATTGAAATGCAAAGGTATGATATGTGTTATGTTATAAAGTGTGTATGATTTCATGATATTATAATGTTATTGTTTTCTTATGTTGTTTTCATAAAGCTCACCGAGGTAAGTGGACAGTAAAGGGTTTTATTATTGAAAAATGAATTTATCATGAATTATGCTCCATTGGTCGTTTTTGTTTTCTATCAACCTTTACTTCTGTGACAGTGAGATAGTGTGATGTCTTTACTGGGCTAGTGTACCTCATTCTTTCTTTAACCATTTCAGATCAGGAGGATTTGGTTCTCGAGCCCGTCCCGCAGGAAGACAGAGAATAGACGCCTAAGGATTTCATAGTTTTATTTATAGAATTCATTACTAGTATTTACCTTAGTTAGTTTATTCTTTCACACGTTGAATACGTTTTTGGTTATTGTATAAGGGATGTTAATCAGAATATTTATTTCGCTTCCGCACTTAGAATTTTTAATACATACATTTTCTTTTAAATTTCCGAGGCCGTTACAACCCACAAGCATATAGGTAGCAAGTACAACCTTCTATTCGAAAACCACCCAAGAGTCACGAAAGTCTTCTCTGTCTCCGCTAATCAGTACTCGGCCTTTTCAAAAGAGAATGCCCCTACAAGGGTAGATGAGTTAAGTCTTTTATACCTCTCAATGTATATTGGGTCCATTATAGGCAGAGATGGATCTTATTGAAGAGGGATTAGATTATGCTAAAAGAGGTTGGGTGACCTTGTGGCAGCACCTGGTTGTGTGGTGGAGGGTACCAGATTATACTGTGGTGGTGCCGGATGATATGGTGGAGGAGTAGGATCATATCGGGGTGGTAATGGATCTTCTCATTGCAGAGGTGGCTCATATTGTAGCAGCGGTGGAAGGTCAAACAACTCCCTCCTTTCTTCTCAGGCTAGCTAAGCAAAGATAACTTTCTCCAGCATGTCGAAGAGTTGATCGAAATTCTCTCAAAGCAACCCATCCCCGCCTGCTCAATTTAGTAGAGGTTCCTCTCTTCATATCTTTGTACCTATATTTCATAAAAAAAGGGTGGAGTATCGAATTGTATTCGAATTATTCAAATCTACGTGTAAGGAATGGTTCCGAGGAATGCGGTTCTGATACCAATTGTAAAAGTTCAGAATTTAATGAATATGGAAATATTGAATCAATAAAATAATGGCAGAAACAATTTAGAATTTAGGGTTTACATCTTTACACAGTAAATCAAGATACTCAATAGGACTATGGGAATGTCCCTTTCTAATAGTTCATAGTAATAGAATAAATAGTTAAAATAAAACGAAATAAAAATTTGTATTAGGGCATTTATTTCAAATCGGTCAACAAATAAAAATAATGGTTAGGCAATCATTAAACAAAAAAGCAATTAAACCTATGAATTAAAGTGCATGCGATTAGCAACAATAGCAGTCTAGCAACAAATGAACAATTAGATTAAATAAGCAATTTCGTATTGACCAGTTCTAGCTCTATAGGTGACTTGTAATTAATTTTAGGATTTTTTTAATTTTCACAAAACACAATGTTATTGATTATTAACCTTCAATTTACCATAACGGGAAAAAATGTGCGAGATT